GCCACCACACACACACACAAAAGCAAACAGTCAGACATTAAACCGATTGATCAACGACAGATAGAAGAGAAAGGGTTGGCGCGCAAAAAAATGTATCATTTGTGATGTAACTTGAACTGAGCTGTTGGTTTACGTTTAAAGAACCCTTTTCGTCTCAAATCCTTTATGTAAATAAATAGAAAAACTACTTCAAAAACATGTATAATACATGCATGTATGTGTAAATTCCTTTTAACCCGTCCATATAACGTTTGATATACTGCTGTTTTCAGGAAATATTTATAGGGTTAGGCTGTAAAATCGTGAAGTGACGTCATGAGATGACTCACTAAATTCCTCATGGCGTTCCCATGGACTGTGCAGCTTTTTCATTCCAACTTTCTTTGAGAAAGTTGTGTGTATGTGTGTTATGTGGATTACAGGCTGTTCCTCTACTTCGCCCCACACGAGCTTTGGGCAGCATGACAACAAACAGAGGGCTAATAATAACTCCTTTCGAAGTTAAAATTCTGGGTTTTATTTATTCGTCAGTCAGAACTAAACTATAGTAGGATTTGTCCACCTACAGTAATGCCTCTGTCCAAAGATCATAAGACAAAGCAAGTGTTCATTTTTCTGACTTCTTTTGTTTACTCTTGCTACTTAACCTTTGACGTGGTAAGTTAGGGGTCATTGTCATATACATCTACACGTGTTTCTAGGCCGTTTGGACGAGGATGACTCATAATAAATGAACTCCCATCCAAACTAGTTGTTTTCGCTCTACATAGTTAATTGTTACAAGGCCCGGGTGTGCTAGCCGCTCTAGTGTCTGGTATATAGTGGACTTGGGCGCGTCCACGTTACAGGAAGGGGTGGAACAGCAGCTGTCATGGCATTGGTTGAACGACAGAGATCCAGATGTTCGACACCGGTGTGTGGTATGAACAGCGTTTCACCAACAGGGAGCACACTGTGAGATTGTTATCGGTTGAAAAAGTGTTTTAATTCTGTGTCAGACAAAGATTTGACAGTATACTAAAGACAAAAAGGTAAGGCATGTTAATTCCTTTTCGTCTCATAGAGACAAGTATTTCCTTCCCTTCTCTTTGGTTGTTTACACCCATCTAACAAAATGCTTTAAAAACGGTTATTTTTTTCAAATTAATATACCAAAAATACAACTTATAATGATTAGATAGTATTGAGACATCATGCAATAACCCGAGTTGTCAACGGTATTTTCTACCAGCTGTTCGATAATATGGATACCAGCTTAATGAAAGAGAATACACATACCCCAACTGTGTAAGTGGGTATTCTATACGTAATCGTAGATTTACAGTATCATCAGTGTAACTATTCTGTGGCTAAGTAATTTTTTCAGCTGGGGAAAAAATGTTGTTTCCCTACAATGTCGGCAATTAAACGAAGATAACGCCCCTTTACCCCATTCTTAAAACAAAATGAAAATTTCATACAAATGCCACATAATAAGATATAATATTTTTTAAGAAAGGTAATGTGCTTATTATCATTTGTAAGTGATGTAAATGTGCTAATTTTTGTTTACTGTTATGCTTTTGAAACGTACAAATTAGCTTAACATAGACAAGTAGAAAACATTTTATGGCGCAGCTGCAGTGACTTTGAGATATTTAGCAGTTTCAGATAAAGTGCAGTTATAAACCTCAGCTTCGCAACTGATCATTGCTTGAAATACTGACCTCACGTCACGAGATTAAAAAAACAAAAAATAGTTGTAATATAGCTCCTAGTAGGGGTTCGCCATGTTCACTGGTTTTTCCAGCATTATGAGGCTACCGGTATATAACGTGGCTTTTATAGGTGAGATAAAATATTATACAAATATATATAGAGATAAAAATTGAAAATGTTTCATCATTTTACATATTTGTTTTCAACTTGTGAATGTTTGTTTGGTGAGAAGACATAATTATTTTGTGTAGAATTGATTCTAACTACGAGTATGGGTAAAATAAAAAGATGAAATATAAAATACATACAAACTGTTATATAGATAGGCATCATCAAGTTGTGTTACAGTTTTTGTCAGAATGTAGTCCCAGATATGTATCAAGATTTATAATTATCCAATTGTTCAATCCACACACGTGACAATGTGTCAAACTGTTGAACAATGGAAGTGATTTTGATTGAAAGTTACTTGTTATGGAACACATAATTATTTGTTCTCGAGTAGAATTTACTCATGTGCATGTTTCACACTTAGTTCACTACGTTTGCCGTATTTCTGAATATAGCACCGATGTAGCGAAGTCAGAACAGATGCATTTTGAAACTTCACTTTTTACTAAATATCCCAACAATATTTACAGTCTAAATGTTTTTGTTGCTACTCTTTATGAAGGTTCTAATAACGTTTAAAGTGCAGTTTATGGTTAAATAATTTTGTGTATCTCTCAAATATCGAGTTTGTAAAATAATTATAATAAAACTTTTAAAAATATTTCTTGGTATTTACCGCCAGATGGAGGCTCATTGCTACTGATTTTTTTATTGATAGATAAACGACTATATATTTTTTCAAAACACGACGTTATTAGACATTTGTTACGATTTTTGCTACAAATTGGTTGAAGCTGTGGATTTAATATGTCCAGTTACAAATCAGTATATATAACATATTTCTGATATGTTATAAAAATATACTTATGTTACCTGATTATTCATAAGGTTATATTCGTGTTTTATGTTTAATCCCTTTATTACTGAGTGATGATTAACAGATAAAAAAAATTACTGTTGACATTATAGTTTTGTGAGGCTTAAACAAAGCATTACACAACAGTTTTCTCTGCACTTTGTTATAACCGAAAAAAAAATTACGTCACAATTTCACAAATTCGAGTAAAACTATTAGTTTCTGAAATGTTACATAAAAATGCGCGAAGAAATAAAATCATAATACTATGGTTGCACGCGAAGTGGAATAAGCAAATATAATTGTATTTAGATCGTTAACCTCAAACGACTGCCCCTTGGTCAGTCAGCGGTTAGTTCACGGACTTACAATGCTAAAACCCACTGTCCAACTCCCCAAAGTGGACAAAGTGCAGATAGCTCATTGTGTAGCTTTATATTAAAGTAATAGCAATCTCCAATAGACAAGGTGACAATAGCATCAGAGGTAAAACGTAAGTTTAGTTTTATATATGATATAAGCAAGTGCATGGTTTATTTTACTGTTTTTCTTTTCTCATCGAATAATTACAGAAGCTAAAAAACTAAAAAAGGGAGCGGGGGAACAGATCGTAAATAGCATCTGTTTTTTATTTCCTCACTTTCATCTTACAATGGATGTACTGCTCTTTTTTTTCACCTTTTTTTAATTTATTATTTCTTCACCTTCTGAAGCTCTACTCCAACTCATTTTTTTATAATTTCGATCAATTTTAAGACAAAATTAGTAGTAAATATATAAACGAATGGTCAATTGCAACTGATGCCTTGTGGTTTAAAATCCAAGCATGGTTATTCCATTTCGAGTAGAATCAAGTATGTTTTTGAGACCTGTTATTCGAACTCCTTGACATATGAGGCTCGTATTTTGTTTGTGCAAGCTGTTGCTACCTCTGTGGAAATCTTTACTTCCGTAGAGAAAGGGCTAAGCAGGATATGTTTCCCGTCTTCCTCTTACAATTTCCCGAACACGTTCTATTGCTTGTCTCTTGTTTTTGTTTTTCATTACCCAATGCGTGATGTACAAAATCGTGTGTTGTTGCTTTTTCTGTATAATTATACATATTATCTTTCTTTTTTTTTCTTTACTTTTTCACTATTCTTTTTGTCGATATTAGAAACACGAGTATAATTAAGAAAATAGGCTAGTCTTGGCAACCCCTAAGCAATGTCCCCTCTACGACACGTGCATGCGTAGCCTTGCAGCAATCTGACTGGTACAGCGCATCGAATACAACATGCCATTCACAAATTAAACAACTGGTAATAGTTTGTGGAGAAGACATGGGCCTACAGTTTGAACAATACCATGTCTAAACGTTAAAAGAGTACAGACACTAACAGCCACTGATTAAAAAGTGCTTTCAATTAAAAGGGAATAACTTTTGGAAATTATGGAAACTGAAACTATCTATGGACAGAAAAGGAGTGCTAAGGGGAGATTGTAGTTCGCCCAGTACAAATAAAAATTAAAGGGAACATTGCTCCTACATATGTGTGTAAACAACAAATTAAATAAATATTTAAGAAAATATCACCAATATAAATCATTTGAGGTGCAAATTCTGCCAAACCGACTTGTTCTGGTTCTTTGGGTGCTCGACTCACAATGTGAAACCCCGCGCTAAACACTTTTAGTCTTGCATGCGATATAAGGTGATGGTCAATCCCACTATTTGTTGGTCAAATAGTAGTCCAAATGTTGGCGGTGGGTGTTGTTGACCGGTTGCCTTCCCTCTGGTTGGCAGTTCAAAATGGGGCACGGTGGCAGATAACCCTAGTAGCTTTATCATAAACAAAATCCAACAAGTCTAACCAACTTATCCCAAACAAAAAAAATTCAGGTTAGTTCATTAATTTTTCTTTTGGCCCGGGGCCGCGGTTTGGCCCTGTGGTACAACTTGGGGTTTCGGAGCTAGTCGACACTGTGCGACACCACAAACTTTTCTTCGCACTTTAATAAAGCTGTGGATGCTTTATAACTTTACTGTTTGTTCAAGATTAAGCATAAAGCTACACAATGGGCTATCTTTTCTGTGCCCATCGCTGTTATCGAAACCAGATTTTTAGCGTCATAACCCTATAGGCTTATTGCTGAACCAAAGTCAATCCCTTAACGAGGATGGTGGATGATAGGGTGCTGCTGACTGCCAGCTTTCTGGTCAGTAGCTGAAAATCAGGGGCGACGGTGGATAGCTTTAGAAGCTTAACCATGAACAACAAAAACACAAATGTTCCGGACCGAGCGTGGCCTTGTGGCTAACGTTTCGGACTTCCTTTTGGCCTGTAGCAAACACGTTCTTAAGCTTTTATCTTGTTTTTGTTTTTCATTACTGAATGTGTGGTGTATAATTGTTTTTTCTAGATAATTATACATGTTTCTTTTTTTCACTGCTTATTTCATCAATTGAACATACAATTATAATTCAGCAAAATTAATAATCTTTGCGACCCCTAAGTATTTGTGTAAAAAACGAATTAAAGAAATATTCAATCGAATATCGTCATTTTAAATCACTTGGGGGAAAAATTCAACCTAAGCTGCTTATCCTATACTTCTACAGCAAGCCTATGCATTACGCTAGATTAGTGTTATGGGTTCCACGTAACTACAAAAGTAGATACACCTGTTCCGTTCAGCACAGACGACATCCTACGACCGCGTACACTGAACTCATTGTTCATTCTTATGTTCAGAGGGACCACGCCAAAGAGCGTGGGTGCGTTATAAGGGTGACGGTGAAATCCCACTATTCGTTCAAACAAGGGAAGCTCAAGAGGTGGTGGTTGGAGCTGTTGAGTCGCTGACTTCCATCTAGCCTATCACCTCTAAATTAGAGACAGCTAGCGCAATAATCGTCGAGAAGCTTTGCGCAATTATCCCCCCCCCAAAAAAAATTCAATAACAATAAACAAACATACAATAAACACATTTCTTCTCTTCATTTTCTAATTCCAGCTGGGTCCTTGGCGTGGTTCCCGTGAGCATGCGGACGAACAACGAGCTCACTGTACGTGGTCGTAGAATATCATCTCTATCCAACAGAACAGGTGTACGTACTTTTAAAGTTACGAGTAAACCCATAACACTAGCTTAATATAATGCAAAGGCTTGCTATGAAAATAGCTTCTTACTATTTATAAACGTTATTTTTTTCCCTGATAGAGAATTATTTTCACTAACTACTGCTGGATATCATGGAATATCTTGTTAACACCCCCTTAACACAATCATCTTTTGGGAGGAATGATGAAATGACGAAGTATTTTCACTAACTACTGCTGGATTTCATGGAATATCTTGTTAACACCCCCTTAACACAATCAT